AAATTTGTTAACCTTTCTTCATAGCCGATATGTTCCATTCCTTTTATTAATTTTGTAGCCCGCCTCTGCACTTTTTCTAGTGCCATAATATCCTTCTTTAGAACAGGTGCCCAAAATTGCACAGCATATTCAATATGGGGTCTTACCAGTAAATTAATAAAGAGGCAAAATTATATTCTTGTCCCGAGAATGAATGCCCTTTTTCATGCATGACAATACCTTACTGGCCTTGGCCACTGCTGATTGACATTGCACATTGTTGCATAGCTTGTTGTCTATAACAATTCCCAAGTCCTTTTCATGTGTTGTTATCCCTAATTCGCTTCCATTAAGGGTATACGTTGCTTGTGTATTCTTTATGCCGAAGTGCATAACTTTGCATTTTTCAACATTAAATTTCATCTGCCATTTGAGTGCCCAGTCCCCCAGTCTATCTAAGTCCCTCTGCAGCAAAGTAATATCTTGCTCACATTGTATTGTTTTACAAAGTTTGGTGTCATCTGCAAACACTGAAACATGACTTTCAATGCGGTCTTCAAGATCATTTATAAACATGTTAAATAGAAGGGGTCCCAGAACAGACCCCTGAGGGACACCACTTGCCACCTCTGTCCAGCTTGAAAATTTACCATTAATGACAACTCTTTGTACTCTGTTTTTAAGCCAATGTTCTACCCAAGAACAAGCATTTTCATCTAGACCGATTTCCTTGAGTTTGAACACTAATCTATTGTGTGGAACTGTATCAAATGCCTTGGCAAAATCCAAATAGATCACATCCACGGCAACACCCTGATCTATACTTCTACTTACTTCTTCGTAGAACGCAATCAAGTTAGTTTGACATGACCTGTGCTTCATAAAACCATGCTGATTTTTGCTGATAACCATGTTCTTCTCAAGGAATTCTTGAATATTATCCCTTAATAACCTTTCAAATATTTTACCAGCCACAGAAGTTAAGCTCACAGGTCTATAATTTCCAGGCAAGGATTTTGAACCCTTTTTGAATATAGGAACCACATCTGCCTTCCTCCAATCCTCCGGAACACTTCCTGAAAGAAAAGAATCTTGAAAGATTAAAAACAGAGGTTCACTTATTTCTGCACTTAGTTCCTTAAGTACACGTGGATGGATACCGTCAGGCCCTGGAGCTTTGTTTATATTAACTTTCTTTAGTTGCTGCAGCACCTTGTCTTGAGTTAACCAATTACAATTATTCTGCAAGTTTTTAGTAGCAATCATTTGCACATCTATTGCCATGGGTTCTTCCTTAATATATACGGAGGAGAAATAGTTATTTAAAATTCCTGCCTTTTCCTGTTCTTCATTAATTAACACCCCCGTTTCAGTTTTTAGTGTACCTACACTTTCATTTTGGGTTTTTTTAGAATTTATGTACTTAAAAAATGCTTTGGGGTTGGTTTTGCTCTCTTCAGCTATCATTATTTCATTTTGAAGTTTAGCAAGTCTAATTGCCTTTTTGCACGCATTATTTGCATCCTTATATCTTTTATAAGATGCATCTGATTTGTCCGATTTAAATGCTTTAAATGCCCTTCTCTTAGTTGTAATCTCTTGTTTTACTTCTCTACTAAGCCACATTGGTTTTAATTTATTTCTTTTATATTTATTAGTCTTGATTACATTTTGAAAGCTCTTGTGAAAATGGACACACAGGATGTTAACCAGAATATTTGTGTACCATATATGACACATCTTGTGCTTGGTGGCACATGATTTGATAATTCTGGGTACATTGTCCAGTTTCCATGGGAAATAAATAAGACTCACCATAGATGGACTTGTAGGTTCTGTGATTTCCTTAATGATAAGTCTATTCCCCAAAGTATAGGAGCTGATGCCATCCAATTTAAAATAATAATATTAATGATAACAAAGTATTTAAAGAGGAGATGTACATTCCGATTACTCTCATTTCCAAGTACATCCTAGGGATATTACTTTTGCCCAACATCCAGGGGATGTTACTGATTTGCACTGGGAAAGTTGAAAAATAATATAATATATAATATTCTATTTTTATTGAACATCTGGTGGTTTTACTAAAGTATTTTAAGAAACAGTTATGGAATTAAATTAAATATTGAAGCGTTTCTCAAAATGAGCCCACTCACTCAATGGGGCTATCTTAAAGTTGTGTGAATTTTTATGAATATGAAATACATTCTGGGATTCTAAATCCTTTCATTCATAGTTACTATATAAAAGGCTGGTTGTTGCTCTTTCTATATTGTTCAGTATAATATTTAACCATTTTAAACCACACTTACCCATTTGTACTGAGCCTAACTTTCTCAAGTAATCGTGCATTAGGCGATTGTAGTTTATCTCTTTTCTATTTATATGGGATAAGGAATAACAGCTTAACTAGAAAAATTACCCAATGTTTTCCAAGCATTTTTTCCAGCCACTTTGGCGAAATGTGAACTTCCTTGGTCAAGGCGCAATAATTGACTGATTCAGGTTTCTGCTCTATTTTGGTTTCATAGGGATACATCCAAGAACAACATTTCCTTACTTAGTACTCAATCACAGTTCATGGTGATGTTGGTATTAATTTGGAAGAATGATACAAAATACCAACCACTTTTAATTTGAGAATAAATCATACAGATTTAGTGCAAGGAGTTTCCTCTGCAATAGGAGCAGTGACAAGATCTGATGAACACTGTCCCTTATATAAGTGGGAATCATGAGTCTTGCACCCATGGGAAGGAACATTCTGTGTTCCAATCTACTGGCTTCTGAAATAAGTGGCTCCAATCAGGAGCTGCACAGTAACATTCTCAGTGCTGACAGGGACAGTAATTGGCAATCTTTGGCACTGAAGCTGCTGTGGGATATGACGCTACTTATAAAAATAAAATCTTGGATGCTAGAGAGAGGATATCCATGGATACAGGTAAACTGTTCTGCTTGTTTACTTTTCTACCTGCAATGTATACATATACCAAGATACAACCACAATAACCAAGTTATATGCTGTATGGATAATTTAAGCAGGATGTGAATTGTGGAGGAGGAGAATCCTTAAAATATTCAGTATAGGAATACAAGCATTGAGCATCACAGGTTGAGTAGACACCAAAAAAATGATATTAAACAGCAGTGAGGACTCACCTTTGACACTTAGCCAATGGCTGCCACAACATATGAAACAACAAGGGATTGCCATAACTGATCTAGACAATACCTTGGGTCTGTCATTTAATGGGTCTTTCATTTAAGGTTTACTCAATGGGACTTGTTCACTAAACAATGATTTGAGTAACAGAACTGGAAATAAATGCATAGAAAACTAGATATGTGATGTATTGTTAAAATGCACACACAGTAATATATGTAATCATTTTTTTCTTAATATTAAACATTTCTTGAAATTCTGTTATATTACCCAACAAGGAAGGACCAGCCACAACAAAAAATAAATCACTTGTATCACTTTAATCTTGTTTCAGATTTTCTCTCTCTGTGAATTTACTCAGATGTTAATGTTTCATACATGCCAGAACCATGCAAGTGAGTCCATCCTTAGAGTAAAACATATTGACCATCTCTTCTAGACATGGTCCCCGCTGAGTGCAGTACTCCCTCTCTAGAGCGCTATAGCACATGTTTCTCCTGCTTTTGAGGACTACCCCCCTCCCAGCATGCCCACAGTGACTCCCCCTCACCCACCTCACCTCCCAATGTTCCCATGCCCAATCATCAACATTCTCAGAACTTGCAAATGGGAAGAGCCTGGGCTGCAATGCACTGCAATGAGCTGTTATCTACAGCAGGAGATGGTAACTCTATATGTGTGCATGTCTATGTTCCATGTATGCATCTACAAGTCAACCTCCCTGCTACCCCATCATAGACCCTTCACCCCAAGTCCATGTCTTATGTGTATATAGGTATTCCCAATGAACCCCTTCCCCACCATATCTCTCTATCTCCCGTTCTCTGGCTTGTGCCTTCTGCTGCTTCATCTATTCACAGTTAACATTTCTTAATCAGATTTTTTTATATTCAACATGAATTTTCAGGTCCTCTGCATCATGTTTTCGGAGATCCCCTTTCTATACAGTTCTATTTCTGTGTAATGCATTGCATACTTATTGTTCTACAAATGTGTCCTTTTCCCCTTCACTGGTCCTGTTATACAGTGTATTTAATGCTCATCTAATAATGTTCTTGTTATTCAATGACTAGTCTAGTTTAGGTTATTTTTAACCACCACCACATGCATCCCAGCAGCTGCAGGGGCCACACTTAACATATTAAATATCTCCTCCTCCTGTAGAATTATAACCAAGTGATGCACTAGATCAGTGATGGCTGAGCACCATGATAATTGCATTCCACAACAGCAGCAGAAGTGCTAAAGTGCCAATCACTGACAGGTGCAGTTATTTATTAGACACATTGTAGCCACTATGGAACCCAGGGTGGAATGGTGCACTAGAAGCCAAGAACCCAATGGAATGGTGGTAGAAGAGCCCTTCTACAGCCTTTGCCAAATGTTCTACCCAGCATTATGCCCCTAGCCCTTACTATAATGTATTGTACTGTCTGTCATAGAATTCACCCTTTTAATATATGTGTGTGTGTGTGTGTGTGTGTGTGTTCTGTGTTAATTTTTGTAGCTCACTTTTCCTCTTCCGCTCCCCACCTCTCCTTATCTTCTCTACCGTCCTCTGCCCACCCCCTCTCCCCTCAGCACCCCACTCTTCCTCCCATTCCCTCTCTCTCTCTCCTGAGCCTGCTCCCTGCTGATATAAATAGTAACATCTTCCCATTTCCTACATGGTGTCCGGATGACGTAGGAGACACGTAAATGTGTAGGTGCTGCTTGTGAATGAATGCTAGTACTACAGGCTGTGTATAAAAGCCGAGCCGGCCACTGGCTGCATGGAGCTGGTCGGGCAGGGAGTGCAGGAGGAGGAGGCAGGAGCTGGGAGCTGTCCAGGCAGGGCTGACTGGGAGCTGTCCAGTGCTGAAACTTGATGGAGAGGAATCTCAGGTAAGTGCTGTATCCCAGCCCATGGCCAAGCGGCGGGGGCAAAGCGCCATGTGCACCCCCGGGTAATAGTTTGGGAGAGCAGTGTAGTGAGCGAGGCGACTCTACTAGGAGGGTTACGGTAGAAGGAAAGTAACACGTGCGGAGCTGCTGTACCGGGCGGTGGGGTTCATCGGTAATCCGGGAGTTTATCACCTACCCTGAGAGTGCTTCCACAGTGATCCCTGTACTGTACCTCTGTATCCGAATGGTACCCCTTATCACAGTGATCACTGCCCTGTCTGTACCCCTGTATCTGAATGGTACCCCTTACCACAGTGATCACTGCCCTGTCTGTACCCCTGTATCTGAATGGTACCCCTTACCACAGTGATCACTGCCCTGTCTGTACCCCTGTATCTGAATGGTACCCCTTACCACAGTGATCACTGCCCTGTCTGTACCCCTGTATCTAAATGGTACCCCTACCACAGTGATCACTGCCCTGTACCCCTATATCTGAATGACACGGCTTCCCACAGTGATCACTGTACCCCTATATCTGAATGACAGCTTCCCACAGTGATCACTGCACTGTACCCCTGTGTCTGAATGTCACAGCTTTACATAGTGATCACTGCACTGTACCCCTATATCTGAAAGGCACAGCTTCCCACAGTGATCACTGCACTGTACCCCTGTGTCTGAATGTCACAGCTTTACATAGTGATCATTGCTCGGTACCCCTATATCTGAATGACACGGCTTCCCACAGTGATCACTGCACTGTACCCCTATATCTGAAAGGCACACCTTCCCACAGTGATCACTGCACTGTACCCCTATATCTGAATGTCACAGCTTAACACAGTGATCATTGCTCTGTACCCCTATATCTGAATGACACGGCTTCCCGCAGTGATCATTGCACTGTACCCCTATATCTGAAAGGCACAGCTTCCCACAGTGATCACTGCACTGTACCCCTATATCTTCGTGCCGCAATTTATCATAGGGATCACTGCACTGTAGCCCTGTATCCGAATGGCACAACTGATCATGGTGATCACGGCACTCTGCATTAATCTTCAGCCACAGAGTATTGGTGATCGCTACGCTGTGTCTCTGTCAATTGCCAGAATTTACCATAGTGATCTCTGCACCGTACCTGAGATCTTTTAAAGAACCGCTTACCATAGTCCTCTCTTTGCGGAGCCTGTGTCTTCAGCCACCGCATCCCATAGTAATCTCTGCACTTTCTGTGTTCAGTGCATAGCTTGTATAGTAATCAATGCACTGGATGTTCATAGTACTGTCCAAATATCTCCACTGTTTGTCAATACCATATGTTACAATATATATCAAGTCATACATCACCATTCGATCTCTATGTTTACCAGTATATGTTCCTGCTATAACTGACCCATATGTTCCCCATCCATCGTCATGCAATAATTGGACCAGAGTTTTGGTTACAGACATGCATTGTATAGTCGAATGTGAATTGTTCATTCTTTGGGTGCGAAAGTGTATTAGGCAAAAGTGAAAGCCTTTTCTGCTGTGCGTTGATTTTTATCAATACTAGTTTAACCCTCTCTGTGCATAGAGCCGTCCGTGATCTCTGCGCTCTGCAACTTCTGCAAGGTACTGTGTTTATGACACAGTACCTCGCCCGTTAACTTTGCTTATGTGTATCAGTGCCATAGTTCCTACACATTACATCCTGCTCCATGACATACGACATGTGCCAAACAGCTGGACATCTCATTCACCCCCTCTCCCTTTAATCCAGTTATTACTTTATCTGCTGAGCAAAATAGCCAGAATCACTGAGTACAATAGTATTTCATATAACCATATTTGTAAAAATGATGCATGTAATATCTTCGCTTAATTTTGTTGGAGTGCCAGAGAGACAGAGAAATGTATCAAGTTGAACATACCCCTGGCACGTGATGGGTTAATTACTCTGTGACATTTATCGTACCGCTACCCACGCCATGCACATATGCCCACTATTAGTAATCAGTGCCCATAAAATGCTAGTTCTGTTTCCTAATTGCGCTCGGTAACAAGCACTCCAAACCCCCACACCCCACAATCTGTACGAATACTCGCTCTCCTTAGCTGAGCCTCCCACTCACAGCATCGTTTTTGTTCTTTCGATTTCCTCCCACTCAGGATCCACGCACAAACTTTCATTGGCAGCCCTAGTCTGGCAGGCGCACCCCCTCCCCCCCCCCTTCTTTTCCTCCCCCTCTTCCTGTCCAACTGTGGAAAGGCGCACATGTTTAATCTGCCTAAGCATCACTGCACCTATCACCTAACACATCATCACTAGGCATCATCGTGCATTCCATTTAGAATGTTGAGGGATCATAGATTCTCCCCACTTTACTGCTTCTCTAAGAATATATATTCTAGTCTGAGATCCTCACCCACTCTACTGACTTACTGTATGTGGGGGTTCCAGAAAAAGAGATTGAGGTTTGTGTTTCAAAGTAGAGAGACCATGCATGTCTATACAAGAGTCTACATGTTAGCAACTGCATGCATATATAATGCACACACACATATGTCAAAATCGGTTACATTCATTGCGTAGCTGTGAGGCTACTGTATGTGCATGTGTGTATGTGCATGTGAAGATTTGATTGCGCCTGTGTGTACGTGCGTGTGAAGCTTTGTGTGTAAATATTTATCTGTGCATGTGATTAGACGCGAGGGTAAATGTATGTTGATATAGATAGATGCCACGTGTGTATGTAGATGAATGTAGCTGTCCGTTCGTGTTGAAGTGTATAGACATATGTATAACTGTTCATAGGTAACTGTTTGGATATGTGAACGTCTCTGTGGGTAAACATGAATGAGAATATGACTGGAGATGCGTGTTTGTGTCGATATATGTATCTGTGTGTATGTAACTATGTATATACATATGAATGTACCTGTAGATGTGTGTTTGGGTATCTGTGTGTATTTGTGTGTTTGGGTATCTGTGTGTAGATGTGTATGTAGCTAAGTGTGTGTGTGTTAGATGTGTATGTAGCTAGATATGTGAAGATATGTGTGCATAGCTAGATGTATGTGTGTAGATTATTGTGTGTATAGCTAAATGTATGTGTGCAGATTATTGTGTGTAGCTAGATGTATGTGTGTAGATGTGTGTAGCTAGGTGTGTGTGTGTGTAGCTAGATGTCTGTATGTGTGTAGATGTGTAGCTAGATGTGTGTGTGTGTGTGTAGCTATGCATATGTGAAAGTGTGTTTACAGTGCGTGGGTGTGTTTTGCAGTCCATTCTGCTGGATACAGGGACTCATAGACAGACACTGATAGCCCAGTGCTCTCCTGCCATTGGAGTAGTGTCTGTGTGATGTGTATGGGGGGAGGTCCATCCCGGTGACTCATACATTAAAGCACATTCAGTCCACGTCCCATCCTCCCAATTCAGCTCGCCTCCTCTTCATCCCTGCTCTCCTTCACATGCGAGTTTTTTCTCTCCTCCATCACTTCCACTTTTCCCTTCAGACTGCAGAGCTTCTCCTCCCTGTAGATTTCTCCTCTGACGTGTTTCTGGGGATGAGAAATTCATCTCTGCGTCAATGCAGCCCTTCATTCACCTGCACCAACCTGCTCTTAAAGGCACAGGCGCACTGACTGGCTAATTCCCAGCTCCAGGAGTCCCCCTTCATGCTCATTTACTAATGAGTCTTGGCACTGTGTGGGGGTAACATAGCCTAGTAACTATGTGACTCTAAATTGCGTCATACAATGAATGCAGGAATGTAGGGCACAAAGCCAACATGAACGACTATATTTATAAGCCTAGACAATTGTATGTTCAATAATTCAGCAAGGAAAGGGTTACCGGATACAAAAAGTGCTCAGTTTAAAAGTTCCCAGTTTCTGGGGCTTCCATTGATGTGATATATTTGATAGTTCGTTTAAACACATTTTTCAGGTAGAGATGGACTTAGTACATTGCACCCAGATATCCTGCATCCCTGGTAGATGTCTTAGAACCGTTATGATGGGCAGGATTAATTTCTCACCCAGGCTTGCAGCTTACAGACCTTGAACATTAGTAGTGACATTGCCCAGGGCTAAATTGCTCTTCACCGGAACTGAAATTAAATTGGAATTAATCAACTAACTCTACTAAATTGGATTTTTTTTTTATTAACCCTGTTTGCACCTGTTATGTGTTATAATGATGCCGGTAATAGGTTGTGGAATGAAGGTTTACTCTGTACTCTACCTGAGTCTCAAGGGCAAAATTCTAAATGGTGGGCAATCACCATGGAAACCAATGAAATTTTCCTACTGATTGTTCCACATTCAGAACTTTGCTCCCAAAGTGTTCTTTATGCACAATCCTGAAAGGGTTAACAATGTGTCAGTGGGACCATCACAGATAGCAGAATGTTCCTTTCAGGGAAGCTGCAGTTTCAGTTACTAGACGTCCTGTCCTCCTTGCAAATAACCCCTACCCTCCCTGCTACACCACCTATGTACGGTACCTGCACCAGAAGGCTGGAGATTCCCAGAGATGCTACAACACTCCCGGTCATTACATCAGCACCTTGGCTCTAGACTGCTTACTGTGAAATTGCTATAGGAACAGTAACAGTCTACAGTCATGGCTACTGAAGTGTGACTTCTGCTTCTGTTCTACAGCCTCTGGGTGGACCTCCAAGGAGACAGATCCAAATGCAGCCCATACCAAGGGCATGAAGATTGGCAGGGGCAAATATAGGATGGGGTGGTGTGGGTGGCATCCAAAAGGTGGCAAGTGACTGTCCTTAAACTATTGCAATATGCTGGTTATAATGCATCACACCTGTAAATGTTTTGATTATGATTACCTGGTCATATTTCCCCTGTATGTCTTGTCTAGTTCAGTCACTGCTGACCTTGGCACTGCAGATACTTGTAAAGTACATTTCACATGATGGGGCATCATTGGAAACGTAGTCCACCAAAAATACTCAGTGGTGAATTCTTGCTGACCTGGATTATATATTAACCCATTAACCTCCGCAATTCACCTGTTTTTTAAAGAGTTTAGAGCCATCTCGAACCACGCTGTTGCTAATGATCTATGAATGACTGATCCACATCGATGTATCAGTTTTGATAAGCAATACTGGGAAAACCATTGGGGTCTCACATTCCTTACAATATTCACTTAGAGGTAAACCTGTAATATTGCTGTCTTGGAAAGGGGAGCTTTTGGAGCAGCTGGCTTGTGACTGATCTGTAAGGTAAAACTGCCAGTTTAATTCACTGATTGGCAGATGCCTGGTATGAGTTTGTGTATGTGTTAAATGGTCCTATTTTGCTATTGGTGTAATGCACAGAGATGTAAATATTCTAGCAAATAGCAATCAGTTGCACTGCAAAAGTTCATAGCACTATAGCTGTACAGATTGCTGCCTGTGGTGGTGAATTAGACATCCTCACATAGTTAGCCATGGGTGACAGCTGCAAGACTCTGTTTGCATGTCTCCACCCACAGAGACTTTTAGTCACTTTAAGATACAGAAGATGTAAGTCAATGAGTCACTGTACCACCCACTGATTTAGCATGTGTGGATAGCTATAGTTTATTTTAGGAAATAAATATAGTCCCAATTTTTTTCACCAGTTGACAAAGTCACGGGAACAAGGATCATTGAGCAAAAATGACAGAAGTAAGTAGAATTAAATGAGGAGTGAGAAAATGGCAGTATTTCTTATTTAAAATACCAGCACACGCATAAATTAAGTGATTCAAAGCAGAACTTAACATACATGATAATAGAGTTTTTACTGCAACTATGTAACATTTGTGGAGAGTACACTAAGAACAGGTTGGCCAAACAATGTAAAAGCTGACAAAGCATCATGGGACATCATGGGGATATACCTTTTTGCCACCCTCTGCTATAGAACATCAAATGTTGGCTGATCTTATTGTAACAATGACAACTTAAACATTCACCTGATTATTTACTAAAGTGAGAATTGTGGTTAATTCAAAGTTAATTTTAAGATTATAGCCAAGGTAGCCATGCTGGAAGTACAGTTAAAGTAACACTATAGAGTTAGGAATACAGGTTTGGTGCCCTTGTCCCTAATAAAAGTAGAGGGCCCCCACCTATGGGCAATAATTTTTTAATTACCTTTTTTCCGCGCTGCTTACTTCTCTGCCTCCCATGACATCATCAAGGAGGGCATCCTATTTCGAATGTCCAGCCCAGAGTTCCTCATAGAGGAGACCTGATGTAGATGCACATGAAGTGACTAGCGCATCCAATGTTTCTCTCAGGAAAGCATTGAATTTAATACTTTTCCATGAGCTGCAACATTACATGCATGTTTTACTCTGTCAGTGCAGTGAAAGAGCCTTTTGTGGTGTCTGAAAGACAGCCAAGTAGTGTGTTTAACCTTGCAATGTAAACATCTCCGGATCTACAAAACTGCAGTGTTTTAGATTGCAGGGTTAAAATGAGAGAACTACTGCAAATGGCCACTGGTCTGGTCACTTTAGTGTCTTTTTAACTTGGAGAAATTTTCCAATTGTACTATTTTCGGCCTTAAATGTGAAATTCACTTTGAAATCCTGTCAGTTCTTACTTTAAAGTAGGTAAATAGCACTGTTAGTCTTAATATAGCATTTGTGTAGCATTATGACAAGTCAACTCTTCATTCCATTACCTAGGCATTACATTTAAAGAAACACTCCAAGCACTATAACCACTACAGCGCGCGAGCACTCAGCTAATGCCAGTGATCTAACCTTACATGTCCAGGTTTAGCTCATGAGAGGTAACAGAAGATCCTAGGCAGGGGCTCACTGCTCTGTTGGCTGCAGTGGAATTGGAGAGTGGTGTCTGGCAGATCCAGGTAAGAAGCCGAACCCTTCTAAAATGTATGCTGTATTGGTCATGGTGTTAGAAGTGTTCCTGTAAGGCAATTTGAGCACCAATATTGGTGCTTAATCTCATTTTACATACAATGTGTATAATTAAAGGGACTGCGCAGCCTTATCGAACATAGACACTTTATTACATTACATGCAGAATTAGTGACAACATTAGTTGTGATTTCTGTGTAAACCTAAATGTGCATTCGCATGTATAATTTATATCTTTACAAACGCATTTGAATATTTCTATTAAAGTTTCATTCACTAGACCAAGTCTAATATTTAAACTGTTCCTGTCATGGTAAACAAAAGTTACTAGGTTATTTTATTAAAACATTTTTCTGTATGTTGTGCTTGCAGAACTGCTAGAAACAAAATAATAATAAAAATATATATATATATATTAACATATGGTCCCTCCTCTAATCTGTCAATCATTTCCCAGCTTACAGCTCTATGCCAATGATGTAGTGCATTTGGAGATCAAGACCACTGCACTTCCCCAAACAATGCTCCCTCAGCACCAACATTCTCACTTCTCTGTCGAGTGGAATGGTGTCAGAACAGAGTGACAGTTGTCATTGTGTTCCTATAATCTGCTAGCAAGAATGAGATGCATCTATTAGGGAAGTAATCATGGTAACGTATGTGCATGCATATGCTGTATGCTGTAGCTGCTGTGAAGGAGAACAGGAGAACCATTAAGTTGTCCTCTTGGTCACCATTCCGTGACATTGTCCTGTTTGGGGAAGTGTTCAGGCGTAGGGGCAGGAATTAAGAGCAGGCAATAGGTGTTACATAAAAGTAACACCCCAAATGGCTGCACTGGGGATGGAGAGAAAGTGGTGAATACATATATATATATATATATAATCTACCTGCATAAAATCTATACATTTATCACAATGCAAAATTTCCAAGTTTGCATGTAATTAATGTTTGTGTAAGAGAATGAGTATTAAAGAACCTTCTAAATAAGGGGTAGCAGTGAGTTAACAATCAACATAGAACGTTTAGACCAAAATAAGTGAGTTGGAAGAAATCCTCTTTTAGGCGGAATTTTAGTTGTGTATTCTAAACTATACAGTCCAGTTATTTCAGGATATTTTTTCCTTTTAATCTTCTGTATTGCATAAACCAGTCAATGGATCCTTTACCCTGCAGATTGGATGCTCCATTAATGTTAATTGTTAACCATTATCCTGTATTAGTATAATGTTACACTTGAAAAAGCATTTTGACATGGAGACAAGACAGCCAGGAACCGGCCAACATAACAGCTCTTTCTTTGTTCCCATTGAATAATATTTAAAGAAATTATCCAAAGGGATACCTTTAAATGTATCTAGTTTTCTTGCTTACTATCAAAAACAATGGTATAAAATCCAGATTGCAAAATGAAGGCTAAACTAGCCAAGCTGTGACTGTAGCTGGATAACCCCTTAAGTACACAACTTCAGAAATATAAGGGAATCATGACGGAATATTTCCGTCATGCGTCCTTAATCCCTTAAGGACACATGACATGTGTGACATGTCATGATTCCCTTTTATTCCAGAAGTTTGGTCTTTAAGGGTTTAAGGGGATATTTTTTCCAGATCTGTAGTTTTTTTGTGTGTTAATTCTTCATTGTGGCGGTGAGCTTTTTAAAATGTTATTATACCAACTATACCAATTTTATTTTACCAACTACTTCAATGGTTCAACTCCAAATTCAGCATAGTATACCAGTTCAATAATAATATGTAGCTAGTATAGGAAATGGCAGCAATTTTAACTTTTTTACCAATTTTATGCTTTTTAAATTTTTTATTTTTTATTAATATGTATTATAGTATGTATAACCTAGTATAAATTAACTCAGGGTTATAATAAAGAAACAAATAACCTGGCAATATGTTATAATTTGCAAACTGTTTTTAGGCAAAATAGCAGAGTTTTAATAGTTTTCTATTTACTTTAATAAAGTTTAGAAAGGGGGTACATTGACTAGGTGAGTGGTATCCAATTCAGTCTATTCCATTGGGCATACTGACAAAAATGTTGACATTTGGCATGCTGTGAGGACCTGATTGGAAAACACTACTCTAGAGACAGACAGCCCCTGTAGATCCTTTAACCCCTTAAGGACACATGACATGTGTGACATGTCATGATTCCCTTTTATTCCAGAAGTTTGGTCCTTAAGGGGTTAAACTAGAATCTTTCTTATCATTACATCAAAATCGACTGCAGGAATCTAACATGGGTATATTCACTAACTAAACCATTTACCGTGATGAGTTTAACTAACTTCTAAACCCATGCAATGAAAGTGCAAAGTGTTCTTTACACAAGCACGATTATTAAAGCTGAAATGGTTTTACAAAAACATGTTTAGAAAACATTTAAGTTAGACTCCACTGATTGTAATGAATAACTGCTCGACGCACATCGTCGTAGTTTTGAAAACAGTCAAATCGTTTAGCTCTAACTCTGTTTCACAATTTATGAAACTTTCTTCACTTCACCCAGAGAATGCCCCTTCCTAGGCTAGATCAATAATGCAGATTTAAACCACCCCTAGTGCTCTCAGCCAGCCAGTGTTGTCCAGATTGGATGGAACTGACGCTGATAATGCAGGAATGTTAAAGGAGCACTCCAAACACCTAAAGCATATAAGCTTTCTGAAGTGCTTTAGTGTGAAGAGTGTGTCCTCTTTTTTTATTTTACAAAAAGTGCAGGTTTCAATTAACAAAAGCTAAAAAGGACACTCTACTGCCCAAACAAATAATAATAATAATAATGCACTATTTAGTAGATATATCCTCTTTGAAAACGCATGTATGTAATAAGGCATGTTTTTAGTTGGGGTTTTAACTAGAACAGCTTTCAAAACCTGCAGATCTTTTGTCTGCCACCTTTACAGGTCATAACCTTCTTTCCCAGACCAGTCTGTTGGTATCTGTCCTAATGCAACTCAATAAAAAGTCTTTGCAAGGCAGGTGGTCTAGGTTTCCTCTTGAGTTTAGCTCTACTGAGCTAACCAAACCAGGAAGTAACAGGACCTGATGTCTGATTGACAGTGTGGGGAAGGGGGGTTTAACAAGGTTAATGTGTTTCTATTGACATCTGCACTTTTTATAAAATGAAATTAAATGAAAAAGCAGATAAATTTTTTACACATCAAGGACTTCTGCAAAATTCAACATTTTAGGTGTTAGAAACGTTCCTTTACATGCCTGCATGTTTTCACTGGAAGTATATCTACTAAATAGTGTTTGTTTTTTTATTTTATTTTATTTGAGCAGTGGAGTGTCCCTTTAATTTTCTGTTTTCAGTTATGCTGAAGTGGAGGCTCTCTTCAGACGCAAAGAAAAACCCTGTTTTATGGTTTAGGTCAAACAGTTTTAAATAGTTTTATATTAAATCAGGGGAGGGCTCCTGCACACACTCTTTAACCTAACCATTGAAGTGAGCTGCAGTGGTTATATAGCTTAGGGCATCCATATAATGAGACACTAACTCTTTTAATAATTAGATAGAAATATACAGCAAATAGTATTAAAAGTAAAAAACAAAAAACCTAAATGCTAAATTACAGAATGCTGCAGGTTCTTGCAGAAAGGAACACGTAGAACTCTTTTAAATTCATTCTGCAGCATGATACACTACAGTAGATGAAACCATGTATGTAATTTACAATGACTCACATTAAATGAACAGGTGCTTCATTTGTGAAGAGTGTGTCTACTTTTTCCATGTTACAAACAGAGCAGAGTTCAATAGAAAGTGACACTTTTTAAAAGTAATCTTTCTACACCCCTTGGATGGTAAGACAATCAGTCCTGTTACTTCCTGGTTTGGTTAGCTCAGTGGACAACAACATTAATTCTGGGCTGGGGAAAAAGGAAAGGGCTTGCAAAAGCTTCAGACGAGAGATCTGCAGCTTTTATAAGCGTTTTCAAAATATACCCACAGTGGAAAAAAAAAACATAAATCATTGCATGCATGCTTTCATTGGGGTATATCTACTAAACAGTGGTTTTATTTTTTGTTTTTTGGCAGTGGATTGTCACTTTAAATTATGTGCCTTGACTCCTTTAAAGTTTCAATCACTATTGATATTTTTAAGAAAGTATTGACCAGGAAAGATCAAAATCTAAAAAATGGTTGCTTCCCTTCCCCTCCCCATAATTTTGCATATTGTTTGTCAGGCCATCAAATTCACTATTTACTCAGTAAACCCTAAATTATGAAATTAGAGCGCAGTTATGTAATGCCCACATCTAATATGGCACCTTACTCAAGTGCCATTACTATAGTAGGCAGATTTAGTATACCAATTTATACGACTACCCAAGGGAATGGGAGTTCTGGCCAATGTATGTCCAAGTGAACAGGCCTCTATGTACTGTGCACTGATTGGTTCTTGAATCTGTGAGGAACACACATTGATACCCTATAATCACCAATTGATTGACTCTATTTATGTCTGCATGGGGAAATAGGGGAAGGCTTAACCCATTCACAAACATAGCAGTTTCTCTGAAACTACTATGTTTATGAAAAAATGGGTTAACCCTAGCTGGACCTGGCACCCAGACCACTTCATTAAGCTAAAGTGGTCTGGGTGCCTAGAGTGGTCCTTTAAGTTACTAACAGTAATAAAATACTTAGATGAATATTATCTTCTCTATTTAAATTTGGACAGTAAGGTGAGGCACCCACAGGGGAAAACACAACTGTTAAACTTTCCATTTTCATATATCACAGGCTTCCCCAAACTCCGGCCCTCCAGATGTTGCTGAACTACAACTCCCATGGTTCTATGAATGAAATAGATAGGCTGAGAATCATGGGAGTTGTAGTTCATCAACATCTGGAGGGCTGGAGTTTGGGGAAGCCTGATTTATCAGTTCATTGACACCTGCTGTATGTGGCTGGGCTCTTGGCTTCCTAACTTTAATTTACTATAATTTAGATGCAGAACTCAGTCCACATTTTAGTCACTGAGAATGCAAGTAGATTAACTGTGGCATTGCTGTGAGCAAATTGTAGCGTGGCTGGGTGACCATAGCCAAGCCAGGAACCCGAGTTTAACTCATCTTAATTATTTTTTAGATAAAATGTGACTTACTGAAAAAAAATTAAATTGTATTTTATCTCATAATATAATCTAGGAAATGCATGGCTTACTCTCCCACCACCCATTTATTATTGGTATAGAAAGAGGCAAATATATAGGATTAGAATATATAAATAAATAACACATTATATTAGCTAACTCGTCAAAGAAAAAATAAATGTTTAGGACTAAGGGCATTTTATGAGTGCAATGTTTGAGTCTAACCAGGCTCGGCTTCAGACAGTGAATTATTATTCAAAGGGGTTTATCAATATAGAAACTTTTCAGGGTAAGGAAAGCATTGGGATGTAACTACTGGATGTTCTACATTTGGAACTTTACCCCCAATCTGCTATTCATGACCTCATAGTGTCTCTGAAGCACAGAACACACCTTGTGGTTCACTCACTAAACTCTGAGGTGTTTATAATTAAAATTAAAATGGAAATTGGTGTTAAAATACTCGAACTGTGGCTATAGCTGAGTTGGAGAATTTTCTAACCATTTTATTTATAATATGTTGACATTTTAAATTTAATTTCAATTAGCTATAGTTCAAGTCTACTGTAAAAACCTGTGATTAAACCCCTCATTACGTGTATGTAAAGCTTTATTTTTCACTTTACCAATTTTATTCTTTGTTTGAACCCAGCAGACTAGAAACCATGAACAGTTCATCAAGCTGAGGCAATAGAGCAGGTGGACATGTGTACACTAATGGATATATTCACTGCTTTGTGGTTGTGGTGAGTTGATTACCAACTTGCAAAATCTAGGCCAGATTAGCTGAGTAAGCTAGTTTTTCCAACCATGAAGTATATTCATGAAACAGCGAGCTGTGCTGAGTTGACAGCCGATTTAAAAATGTAGGGCAAAATAACTGAATTGGAAAAAATCTCAACTTCAGCTGAGCTGGAGGCTTCTTTCAATCTTAGGATTTTAGGACTGGACAGCATAAAATATTGCATTGTCAAATTGCATAAAAACTGTATAAATCGCTGTTTGCAGAAAATAGACCTCTCTTAATGTTCTAAGATTCGTAAATCGATTGTAAACTTATCAGAATTACCCATAAATTATTATAAAAATAATAATAATAATTATTAATAATTAATCATTATTATAATAAATAAGAAACATATGTAAAACACTTATTTTTAAAAGACATGGATGCATTTTATTATCTACACATATCATTATAGTATAACTAATATTTCAATTAACAACAATTTCCTTAGAGATTGACAGATTAAATAAAGGATATAACAAAACAAAACAAAACCAACAAATTTGCTAGATAGAAATAAGTTCATATAGTTGGCTTTTCTGTGAACTTACAATCTAAACTAAAATGTTTATTCAATAAAGGAACATTGCAAACCTCTAAAGTAAATTGTAGGTTCCTAGAGGTTTTGTAGAACTACAAATTCCATGATGCTTTGCATGCTTTTAGGATGCATATTGAATGACAAAGCATGATGGAAGATGTAGTTTTAAAACATCCGGGGATGTACATTTTGGGTACCTTTGCTCTAAAGCACTTCAGCTTGCTGAAGTGTTTAGGAGTAAGCAGTTTTGTAACAGTGCTGACTTCAAGCGTCATCAACACTTTCATTTTAACATCTTGGTAATATCTCCCAGCTGTCTACTTGATAGAATGTTGCCTTCCTCGACTACATTGTACTCTCATTTAACCCCTTAAGGACCAAACTTCTAGAATAAAAGGGAATCATGACATGTCAGACATGTCATGTGTCCTTAAGGGGTTAAAGTGGAAGTGAGGGCTTCTCATAGAGAAGCATTGGCTCAGTGATTGTGCATGGGAGCATTACCAGCGTATCGCGGCATTGGCACCCTGTGTTCCCATACTTCTCTATAGAAAGTATTGGACTTGCTGGGAGTTTATCACTAGTCATGAGTTCCAGAGTCACAGTGAAACTGTAGTAAGAAGGTGGTCTCTCTGAATTAGAGGTAGGTCACATATTGTTTGGAGGGATCCTAGCTTAGGAACATTTAAGCACATTTATTTCTAACAAAGCCTTCCTTTAAAACGCGCATGTTTACTGAAAAGTGATTCACAATTTAGGTTAAAATAGCTAAACTGTGACTAAGCTGGAGCTGGTAATTTTTTTTTTTAATTCACTACTGTCTGTGTTTAGTGAATATCCTGTTGACGCTGTATATTATTTATAAAATGGACATCGTATGCAAGGTACATTTTGGGTGGTAGTTTTCATGCAATATAACTAACATTTACGTGTCTTACATTTTATGTTAATAACCAGCTGTTTCTAGCTGCACAGACTGGTTAGTTCATTTATCACTGACAGTTACTAGAAATAGATTGGATAGATTTACTTTTATTAACTTTATATAGACATTTTTTACCGATTTACTCCAGCATTGTGTATAGCAGCATAATGCCAAAGAAATGTGGGTACAATGTAGTTGTTAAAGCAGTCACTGGCCTGTTTATGGTTTATACATTAGAAACAGAGCTGTTTCTAATGCAGTGCCAGTGATTTCTGTTTGCTTACATATTAGTAAGTTAGCAGCCTGGCATGCCCCAATACACCAGAGTAATAGTGAACTCACTGCGCTCTGATTAGAATGTTAAACAAAACATAATCAGTGTTCTAGAATTCCATTTCAGGATAACAAAGTGATCTCTGAGTATTGGAGGAAAACTCCCATTGGCTGCTGTGCCGGATAACCCCCCACATATTAGCTTTCTGCAGTTATCCCATTTACACTTTCCTGCTATTATCCATCCTTGAACACTGTCTAATATTTTGCTACTATTTATTCCTTTTATTCAGTCTCAGGTCTCCATGCATTGAAATATTTTGATGATCAGTTTTTTTCCGCTCTATTCTCATCCTTAACCCCTTAAGGACCAAATTTCTGGAATAAAAGGGAATCATGACATGTCACGCATATCATGTGTCCTTAAGGGGTTAAAGGGACACTATAGTCACCAAAACAACTTTAGCTTAATTAATAAAGATATATATATATATATATATATATATATATATATATATATATATCCCCTGCAGTCTCACTGCTCAATTCTCTTTCATTGATGAGTTAAATCACTTTGTTTATGCAGCCCTAGCCTTCCTAAACACTTCCTGTAAAGAGTCATCTAATGTTTACACTACTTTTATTGCAAATTCTCTTTAATTTAGAATTTCTTATCTCCTGCTCTGTTAATAGCTTGCTAGACCCTGCAGGAGTCTCCTGTATGTTATTAAAGTTTAATTTAGAGAGCAGGAGTTAACCATTTCTAAAGTAAGCTACTATCTGATTGATAGTAAAACCCTTTTTCTCATGCAGGCTGTGTCAGTCACAGCCAGGTGTGGCTAGGAGGCATAAACAGAATCAAAAGTTATTTAACTCCTAAATGGCAGTACTCAAATTTATTTATTTACCCTGTAGCTTAGTGGTCCTTTTAACTGAAATATAATCTCATAGAATCTGCTTCAATGTTGGAAACAGTCCCTGTAATTTTATTTTAAGTTAGATGTCTGCTTCTCCCTCGGACCTACCTTTCGCAAGGTTAAACAAGATATCTATATTGTTTACCAGCTTGCTAGAAGATGTACAGGCCAGACAAAGTTTTGTGTTTAACATGTTTCTTCCAGTGGTGAGACAGACATAAAGACAAGTAAATAGATAAAGCTAGACAGACAGACAGAAAGATAGATAAACTGTATTTTTTCTGTATTATACTGCACACAGCTTCAGGTCTAGATATAATGCTAAATAAAAGATAAATTGGTTGCTCAACCTTCTGGCAAAGTCTTCTCTGGAAAGGAACATTCTAATGTTAAAAAGTAATAATCAGCTTTAGAGTTTGGCAAATCTCTTTACACCTTTAAATACCAGACCCGCCCCCATGAATGAAAAATTACATAACTTTGACAACAGTTTACCTTCCTGTCCAGATTGCTTCAATGGTTGCATACACGTCAATCAAATGCAGCAACCGCTGTGATCAAACAATAGAATACTTCTCATACTGTACTAATGAATGGTTGTTCAAGCGGAATGGGTCAGGATGTCAGTTTGACTGCTGTGGGGGAGAGAAGTTCCCAAATTAATTTATAAAAGTGATGATTTCTCTTTAAATTGGCTCTTTTATGAATTGGGACAAGATGGACAGACCGTTAACCCATAAAGCATTTCAGCAAGCTGAAGATTGTGAAGTGTCCATTTAAGCATATAACAATGGCATGGAGGCCAAGTGACATTTATCCCCCTTAATCTTTGCACTACATTCTATTTGCCTCTGAAACACAGGATATAGATAAATGGTTTGGTTACATTGATAATTTTCTGCATCGCATATTAATGGTAAAAACGACTTCATTTGTTCATGTTTTTATTGAAACGGGTTGAAGAAAACAGATGGGGCATATGGATATGCTTGGAAATCTGTCCAAGCAGAAATGTATTGACAGAAGGCAAAGGAAGAAAAATTCCTAGCGTACAAAATTACAGCAATATGACATAAGTATGAGCAAGGCAAAAAACAGCTCCTTGTTACAGAGGATTTCCCATTTATACCCTTTTATCTTACATCTATAGAACCATAGTAAATATGGTACACACCAGGCCTTCTAATGTATCAAAACCAGTGTCATTTAGAATAAAACAACGTGAAAAGAAACATTTTATGAACACATAGTTTGTGGGCGTAACAGATACTTGTCACATTCTTATCAGAAGCTGGTGGAATATTACCGATCAGTATCAAAACATGTACTGGCATGGTAAGAGCAGTAAGGAAGATAACAGCTTTATCTTCCATTTGAATTGTTGCCAACCCCATTTAATGCCTAAAGTCTAATGCATAATTGGACAATTACATGGTCATTGCTGTAACCTGAAAGTGCAGTTCAAAGAAGTTTAGACATAACAGAGATAATGATAGAAACATTTAATATATGATAAAAACATTTAAATACATAAAGGTAATCAACAAAGTAAATGAGGAGAGTATATTTAAAAGAAGAAAAACTACCACAAAAAGAAAACTACCACAAGAGGACATAGTCTTCAATTAGAGGGGCCAAAGTTTAAACATAATATCAGGAAGAATTTTTTCACTGAGAGAGTAGTGGATGCATGGAATAGCCTTCCAGCTGAAGTGGTAGAGGTAAACACAGTGAGGGAGTTTAAGCATGCATGGGATAGGCATAAGGCTATCCTACTTATTAAATAGGGCCTGGGACTAATGAAAGTATTTAGAAAATTGGGCAGACTAGATGGGCCGAATGGTTCTTATCTGCCGTCACAAATTGGGTAGACTAGATGGACCGAATGGTTCTTATCTGCCGTCACAAATTGGGCAGACTAGATGGGCCGAATGGTTCTTATCTGCCATCACTTTAGCTTGCTGAAATGCTTTATGTGTGAAGAGTATTTCCTCTTTTTTTTTTTTTTATTTTACAAAAAGTGGAGATTTCAATAGAAATTGAAACTTTTATAAATAACCTTGTTACACCCCTTTACTGTCAATCAGACAACCGGTCCTGTTACTGGTTTGTTTAGTGAACTAAATTCAAGAGGCAGCAATTGCTCAGAGCACCTACCTTGTAAAGACTTCTCATTGAGCTGCATTAGGAAGTTTTTTGATTGGACAGCCACAGAAAGTCTGGGCAGTGTTAGAAGGGCAGGGCTTGCAAAAGCTGCAGACAAGATATTTTAGATATACCTACAATGAAAAAATGAATAATGAAATGCATGTATGTTTTTTCATTGGGGGTATATCTATTTACTTATTTTGTATTTCGTAATCAAGTGTCTCTGTTTAAAGCAGAAATTCCTAAATGTTCCTTTTGAATAGCAAAAATTTTGATTTGAAATTTTTTTGATAAATTAATCTATTTAGCAAGGTTTCCAGTGATGTTTGAGTGTTTCTAGATTATATTGTTTGTTCTAGCATAGTTATTGACTAAACATGGTATTATTTGGAATTATTCAAGGAATAATTTCAAAATGTAAGTCCAAATAGCCAAGCTTATAAATTCCTGACTAGTCCCAGTTTAGTGTATAACCCGGTATGTGTTCCATCTCTTTGGACCTGTGAGTTGCTCTGAGTTTTAGTAAAGACCAGACCTGAAGTTTAGATAATAATCCCCAGGTAATGTGGACTTCAATTCCCTGCATTATAACCACAGGATTGCTGGGAGTTGTAGTTCACACCACCTCAAGAGTCCAAGGCTCTCTTTCCCATGAAGATATCCAGAATTAATCAGATGATGCTCCTCAAAAAAACTTAAATTGAAAACTGAAATTAAAAGAAATGAGAAGAGTGCAATTATTTTTTTTAGGTTAGACGGCTGCAGGAAAATAACATTTATTTTTTTATTACAAAAATTTAATTTCTAATTGCACTGCAAATCGTGATTTGTGACAAAAGTTGCAATTCAAACATTGTGCAAACTTTTGCAAGAATTGTAAACTCATTTTATAAAGCAGACAATAATTTAATTAAGTTCTGATCTCTTGTGCATTTAGCTTCCTGTACCAATTCAGCTGTGCCTTAAGACTTACCAGCATTTTGACTCGGAGGAACTTTACTATGCCCACTGCACTAAACGTAGTGGGTAATGTGTTTGTAGTGTGCCTTTAAAAAAAAAAAAAAAAACCCACCTTAGATCAAACTAGAACAATCAAGGTGAAAATTTAAGGAACATTATAGGGTCACAAACATGTATTCCTGGCCCTGTAGTGCTAAACCCCCCATTTAGGTGGCTTGCCCTCCCTTAGCCCCCATAAAAGTAATTAAAACTCACCTTAATTCCAGTACCGCATGGGTCCGTTGGCGCTAGCTCTGCCCCCTTGGTGACATAATCAGAATTGCATCTCTATGAGGAAAATTCTGCGTCCCCATGCAGGGCGTGGAGACACTGAACGGCACTGCTGCCTACTGTGCAGCACTGAGCCAGGAAGCAACTCCTGTGGCCATCTGAGTAGTGGCCAATTGAAGGTGTCCCTAGGGGCAATGTAAACACTGCCTTTTCTCTGAAAAAGCAGTGTTTGCAGAAAAATGCCTGAAGGCAGTGATTATAGTCACCAAAATAACAACATGAATAGATTTAAGTTATTTTCCAGTTCCTCTATTTTGGTCTAGATGTTGCTAGTTAGATCTTAACTCACTGTTTAGGTATTATAAAACCCTTTAGTAACTTAGTGGTGACTTGTGTTAACTGATTTACTTTGTGGCTAGCACAGATGTTTAGAAGGCAAAAATATTAGATTCCTGATATCTGCATAATAGTCATATTATTTAACATTTTACTGGACCAAAAAGTTCATTGTCATAAATATTGGACAGAGATTAGTAACAGAATTCATGTGATGTGTGTGCCATTTAAATTCTAGAAAAAAACGTGTCTCAGGCAGCGTTTAGTAAATAACTAATCCCTGTTTCAATCAAGAACATTCTTTTGTATCACACTTATTTGGTGCAAAGTATACTTTCACATTTTTCAAGTCGACATGGAAAATCTTCATTCCAGGCCAGCCGTCCTTAGGCAGGCTGTGTTTTTAATTTTGGTCACGGTGTTCATGTGAGCAAACGAAACTTTTTAAAAAATGTCCTTGGGTGCTTGTACTCTACTGCTGTGCAGATATATTTCTTTCAGGTTCAATATTCTCTGATTTACACTATCAACGCATAGGTATGAATTAATGCCAATATTCAATATTTTATGAAAAAAAGGCTTTACTGTTCAATGTGTTCAACTGATGGCTACAATTTACTGTCTCCAGGGCAACCGTGGCTTTAGATTGTTACTGTAGTTGTGCATTGGTAACAGTCTACAGCCATGGTCACTCGGGGAAGACACAGACAACGCCTTCGTGGCAACTCTAAAGTGGCCAAAGCCAGCAATTACTGTAAATAGAGACTCAATGTAGATGCTTTAGTTGGGAAACTGTCAGGTGAGTTGCAAAAGTAAGTAAGTCAGTTTCTGAACAATGTAATAATTTGTATGACAAGTGCTTATCTGCCATTTATTCATAGTAAACTTGCAAAGTGTGACAGACCAATTGGTCACCTAGGACTGGTACGTCTCCCACCCGTCACCTCACTAAAAGACTATAATCACTACTATATGCACCTCCAGTCAATGCCCCTTTTACGCGGACAAGGACTCATCATCAAGGCCAGCCGGTAACTCGCTGAGGCAAGGCACGTCTGACCAGGAGCAACCCTCAAACACTCTGGAACTACTGATTGGATCAGAAAGTTGCCACAGCCTGGGAAAACTATGATTAGGGCGCTCTCCCAGAGCCACCTATCAGGGCACGATTTGGAGGTGTGACAGAGGATGTGGTGAGGCATCGAATGACACCAAGGACTTGAGAGAGATCAATGTACCGGCAGAAAGCAGCATCATTTTAGGTGCCCGGGATTTCTACCCAGCACTATGGAACTGTATGCTGGATTGGAGGATTGTCATGGTCCGATGAAAACATTACCTTCCAGCTAACTTGGGCTAGACACTTCTGATCTGAGTGCTTTTTGGACAGAGTGGGCGCTCAGGAGAGAGCTTTCCAGGAATGGCACTATTGTGGGGATTTTGGAACAGGAATCCTAGTTTTCATGTGTTTTTGTTAACCTGGTACCAAGGTGTCTGGCCACTAATTAAATTATCTACTTAGGTACAGACACCAAGGTGCCAGGCATGTCGCAATACCATTATTCTCCTAGGGATCTACTGTTGGAGGCCCCAGGTATAAATGTGTGACTGCTGTGCAGATATATTTCTCAGGTTCAATATGCTCTGATTTACACTATCAATGCGTAGGTATGAATTACTGCCAATATTCAATATTTTATGATAAAAGGCTTTACTGTTAAATGTGTTCAAAGGATGGCTACAATTTACTGTCTCCAGGGCAACCGTGGCTTTAGATTGTTACTGTAGTTGTGCCAGGCATGTCGCAAGGTGCCAGGCATATCGAAATACCATTGTTCTCCTGGGAATCTACTGTTGAGGCCCCAGGTATAAAAGTGTGACCATAGTTCCAATAAAGCAGTTCTTCTTCATCTTTCACAAAGTCTCGGCTAGTGTTTTGGATGGGACAGAGTTAAGCTCTATAATCCTTAAGAACTATAATCACAACTGGGAGAAAGGGGGCCTTGATGGTAACAACGCAGCTACTCGTGGGTGTACCACCAGAGTTATTTACTAAAATGAGAAATGTCAGGAATTCAAAGTAAAATGTAAATGAAAAAAATAATCAAGTCGGCTATGCTTCCAGTTTGGCTACTTTGGCTTCAAGTTTAAAATTCATTTGAATTCCCAACAATTCTTACTTTAGTGAATAACCCTGATGATGTAAAAATAGTTCAAAAAGTTTTGGTAATAATTTCTCTTAAATCCATGTTTGACTTTGAAAAGAGTTAAAGTTGGATCCACCCTACCTACTTCCATATGTAAAAACTGCAAATTATATTACTCCTGCTCAAACGAAATCTGTAGAGTGAATTGTAAGCTGCTGATTTCATGACATACAGATTTGAAGCTAAAGTTCAGGGGAGCACCATCACAGGTATTAAACTGCTATAATTTTATAATTTAACACTTTAGTAGCCACTTGTCAACCTAGAGAGTAGACTGTATCTTACACAAATGGAAATCCCAGACAGCGCATGTTGCACAGTTCAGCACTGAAAGTACTAATGCAAAATGACAGACTTAAATTGCCCCTATATGAATGCAATAACGTTCCCAGAATTTGATCTCTCCAGCAGACCAGGAAGTACCTGGGAGCCATCAGTTTTCCCAGGTTATTCTAATATTTTCAGAGAAAAGGCAGTGTCTACATTGCTCCCAATGAACACCTCTAGGGGCAGTCCTTCAGATGGCCACTAGATGTTTCTACTGTGTCCTGTGCATGGAGGCGCTGAATGCTCCCCATAGAGATGCATTAATTCAATACATCTCTATGAGAAAATGCTGATTGGTGCAGCACCACATTTTGCCATGCATGCGCAATAGCCTCCCAATGCTTTTGTTTAGGCAAGGCATGGGAAGAAAGGTGAATAAAAACACTTTTTCACTCCACAAGGGTAGGGGGCAGGGACCTAAACTGCCACACCAGCACTATGCTAAATGTTTATATTCCTGACACTATAGTGTTCCTTTAACTTCATCAGCCTACAGCAAACTATATAGTTCAAACTTAATGGTAGCATTGCATGAGAATTCTGAGAATATTGAGTAACCTACAAGGATTTTATGCAGGCTATAATAACATCCTCCAATGTGCTGTATAGTAAATATACATCCTGAATTATAATTATTGCATCTGGGCTTTATTTCCTGCTGTAGAGATCAAAAGATCCACTTGCGGTCTAGCCATTAGCGAGTGACAATTCAGCCATAGAGAGAAGAAATTCTACCCTGAGTGTGCCATGGACCTCCTAGCTATTTAGCAACTGATGAATACTTGTAAAAGGAAAGTATATTGGATTCATATAACTTATATTTTTTTTCCTTATGCCTGTATAGCAGCATGTAGATAAAATAAGTATTAGTGCTAACTATACATCCTATGTTTTTATATTAATGCTCTGATTTGTCTTTCTTTTTTTTTTAGAAAAATAAATTACATCAAAGACATCTTACTGCACGTTTTAAATAAATCACCCCAAAACCCTAAACAAATATCCAGTATAATACACACATAGCAGCAAATTTAGGTTTAATGGGCATTGCTTTTGTGATGTATATGTAAAAAGACTGTGAACTAAGGTGATTAGAAACTTGGCATTAAAAGCTCAATCCTTAAACTGCCCACTGGGTACATAACGAGGACGAGAGATGAGTGGTGCTTCAGGGGACGTAGCAACCCTAAGGCCCCCCATCTTCCCCCGCCCCCTGCCTGACACTTTCAAAATAGGATGGATGCGGAACTTAAAACTTCTCCCCAACAGACTACTTAAACTTCTTTCTTAACTTCTACAACTTTCTCTATCCTTTAATCTATCCTTTATCTCCCCTACCTCTAAGGGAATAACTACCACTACAATTATGACAGAAACCCTACTAATACATCTATATTGCTAGAAGGGAAGCTCCCTATACGAATCCGTGGGCCGTACCGACAAACAAAGGCCTGGCCGGGCCCCCTCATAACACGTACGACCATGGTCTATATTTGGCACTATAACTATACCTGGCCATGGCAAGTCATACATAGCCAATAACGAAAAGTATGGGCGTGGGCCCAAGCACGGTGGGGAGGATATCACCAACAGATGTTAATGTCATAGGTTATAATTCTTAGATTACTTCTGTTTATTCTAATAAATGTTAAATATAAAATGTTATTGACTATGTCTATGTGACGGGAGATGCGGACACGATATGATGGGGTTCAACAGCAACCTTTAAAAATGAAACAGCACTAAAGTCTTTACTCATGCCATTTACAGTACCCATCATGACATTCGCAAGGTGACTGTTACATTCTTATGTACTGCTATCGCCAAGCACGATACATATGTCAAAAATAAAGAATTTAAAAAAGCTCAATCCTCCATGAAATACATAAATACAGATTTTTGCTGTAATAAATGTCAAATATTTTGTTTATAGCCGAAAAAAAAACAGAATAGAGAAGAATAAAAATCATAAAAATAACATACATATGTAAATTCATCTCCTAGGCAACAAACAATTCTTTGTGCTGTAGATAACATTTTACAGGTCTTGGCTCCTAATATTCAATTTACACTTTTATTGCACTTTCAAAAAGCTTTTTCTCTTCCATAAGTTCTGATGTATGAGTTATACAACCATAAAAGCTATTGCGCATGTGATTGACGGAACCACAGCATTACATATGAAATATTGTGTGCTTAGCTTTTTGTATCAGAGCTAAACTGTTATAATTTCACACTGATTTGGTGCCTATATAAAAGGCTACATAGAAAAACAAATTTTGATAGTAGATAAAAGCCAATTGGCCCATCAAGTATGGCCATTTTCTGTATAAATGGATAGGTTTTATTCTGGATTTTGGTTCCTGCAGATTAGCAGCGTCTATCCTAAGCCGTTTTGAACATTTACATTATATAAAATTGCATCATCTCTGCTGGAAGGCTATTCCATGCTTCTACATACAGAGTTACATAGAGAGGTTCAGACAATAGACATACACCTCAACGTCATCCTTCTTTCTTCTGTGTATCAATGCAGGAGAAAGCAAAAACAAAAAATTAAGCAGTTGCCCTTTAAAGGAACACTTTATACCAGGGGTAGGCAACTTCGGCACTCCAGATGTTTTGGACTACATCTCCCATAATCCTTTTACAGCCATAATGCTGGCAAAGTATCAAGGGTGTTGTAGTCCACGATATCTGGGATGCTGAAGGATTCCTATCCCTTCTCTATACACTAAAACCTATACAGCTTAATGTAGTATTTGTTTTATGCCTTGATGTTGTCCTTGCACTCTGACAAATGTAAGCATTGTTATTTGAGAGAAATGGCAAATTTAACATTTATGAGTTATTGTGCCTCCAGTGGTTGTCAATCAGACAGTGGAGACAGCTCAATGTTAAGGCTGTAAAAACGCTACAGTCTTCATCTATGATATCATGACAACACTGAATGCAGTTAATTCTTTCCATAGAAAAGCATTATGATGCTTCTCAGAAGGGAATACTATTGTCAAAGTGCAATACTTCCCTCAATGCTTCTTTGTGCGAAAAGCATTTAAATATTGAGCAATAGTAATTTAGTAATTAGGTTCTCCTCCCTTATAAATTTGTGAAATAAACTTTAAATTTACCTTTCAATTCACTATACATTGCAACCTTACACAAAGAGTTTTCCAGTACTGTTGGTCAGACTTTCTCAATGATTTTGAGGAATTCATGCACTTTCTTCGTTTCTTGACTGTACCTTAGCCTTCAATCATATTTTTTCCAATCAATCATCTCTTCTTTTGGTGCCATGGACGCAATTCAGATTCTCGAATGAAAATGAGAATGCTCCGGAGTTCAGGAATCCAACTAATCACGCATTCGGCCCAAATTCGGACTAATTGTAGTTGGGATCAAAACAAATCTCCAAGTCTAGTTTACTCTGAAATCCACAAATGTATTCCTTCCAAGATATCTCCCAGCAGACATGGGTATCAATCACAGGCTTTAAAAATATATATTTTATTAATGAAAATAAATATTTATTTGGTGTGATTGTGTGTCAAACAACATTTTCTTAGTTTAACAAAATGTTACAATTGTATCCAGACTTTTGAGGGGTGGAAATCACAGAATTAAACAATGGTTTAATCATAAATAATTTCAGAATCAGTTATTGTAAATCATAAAATACATTTGAATTATTGATTTCACATCTGTGGTGGGATGTAATTTTTTTGGGGGGGAAGGGGAGAAAAATAAAACACTCCAAATGTTAAGATCTTCCTCGCAGGTCCGTGGTAAGCTCTGCCTCATTCAATGTATGCAGGATCAGAACAACTTTCATGTGATATGATCACATGCTCCCCCACTGGATCACTAGGGATGCAGTCAGCATGCATCATACCCCACTGGATAACAGAACCACCCTGCAGAAAGGTAAGGGGGAACCTTTTTTTTTAAACACACACAATCACCCTCAGACAACCCAAAACAATCACACTCGGCCAACTCGATATTGAATCACACTCACAATATTGGTGAATAAGTATGAGAGGCCTGTGTTCTTGTATGGGATGGAAAACCTCCCTATCCCAAGTGGGATTTACCCTCTACCTTTCTGCTGTGTTCATCTACTTCACTAAAAAAGCTTAATGCGCCCTCATATAGGCCCTAACACAGGTTACCTGGTACAGTCATGATGCACCAAAATTTTAATTCAGGTCACCATGAATTACAGTTACACTGAGGACACGTATACTGCATGTCAGCTCAGGTACCTCTACATGCCACTGGGGGGGGTATGCATGATATTTATGGCCTCTTGTGACCTATAGTGCTTGTCTCCCTTTTAGGCAGACACCAATTACACTACCTCAGAAAACACTATTACGACAAACAGGTGATGTTTATTTTGGAAGGTACTAAATGTTTAGAGACATTCTGTTGGTTTCAAACGTCTGTACATAGAACCTCCTCCAGAACTACCCCAGATTGTGCACCTAGAAACGCATTAGATAACAAAGCCTAACTGTTTTTCTTTTTCTCCCTCTCCACGCAATATTTTTATCGGCATTTAATTATTTATCCTGTAAAACCTCACTTTTATTTTATCAACATTTAATAAAGGATTTATTTTTATGTGAAAATTGGAAAAAAAAAATTTGTCCAAGTATGGCAGCTTTTACACCCACATTTTGATGATGAGTTGGTTGTAGCTAGTTAAAATGTATAGAAACCGGGATTTCTGTGTGAACCTGTCTTAGAGGTTGTCAAGTGAAAATGTAGCTGTGGCGAGTAGAAAAATAATTCCTGGTGAGTGTGCTGTGGACCCTCCAGACTTCCAATGGCAAGTAACTGGCTAGTAGTATAGGACTTCACAGTTTAAGCCTGTATATCATATTAAAACCCCCAAAAAACGAAACCCATGCCATATGAAGGATGTTGAAAAGTCAACTTGTGAGAAGCAAAATTTTAAATAATGCCCGTTATCTACAACCGATTGCTCATAGAGGATGATAGGGATTGTAGTCTAAGAATAGGTGAAGTAAAAAAGAAGCTAGTCATTTTTACTGGCATTTGCGTTGTTTCTAACATTTTCTCTCTTTGTCTCACCATTTAACTTTAAAAAGGAAATGTTTTATTTCTGGGCAATCACCCTATAAAAAGTGTGAAGACATTGCTTGTGTAAGCAAAACACAAAAAATAAGTTTAATACCAATTAAAATGCTGTCCATAGAATTAATTGTATTTATTTCTAAAATTAGCATATGCTATTGCGAGACAAAAAGATGGTGCCCAAAATGTTCCAACTCACAGAGGGAACTACACGTCACCCAACTTATCAACTGGGACATATACAAGTTTTAAAAAGTTAAAGCAATTCCCCAATGGGCATAACATGCCTAAAATTTCCTCGTGTATTTATGAAGATGATTCCCACAAACACCATCTGACCCTCTACAAACACAAATAAGGGTATTTTCTCTGGACTTGTTGGAAGTATTCCTATTCAATTGACGGTTTTCTGCTGTAGAAAATGATTAGGTATAAAACAGCTAAATTTTTCAGAAATTTAAGTCACAACATCATGTAAAGCACAAAATATGAAGCAAAAAAAATATAATAAAAGAAAATCTAGCATAACTAACTTGAGCTGGTAGTTAGTAGGTTAATGTGCATTCTACATTGCACCATCAATATGAGAATATGAAGATAACTTCTTTAAAAATAACAGTTACTGTCAGAACGAACATTCATTTTGAAATGCCTTTGTAATTTTAAAAGCACTATATGCCGGCATTGGAATATATATAATAAAGGAATTGTAGAGCAAAACAAAGCAGTCACCATGGAAACCAACCAAATGTACCTACTGATTGCTACACTTTTAGAAATGTGTCCTTATTGCTCTTGATCTGCAGGTAGACATTCTAGATTTCATTCACTGAATTGGCAATTGTAGAAATGGATGAAGAAATGTCTAAAATGTTCCAATTAGAAGAGTTTGTCCAGGTGTTTAGCAGGTTATCTGAAGAACAAAGGGGTAAGTGAGAAAATATTGTAACAGTGCATAGAATAGGATCAGTCAGTATAATTGTGTAACACACTTGAGGCAAAGCAGGGTTTCCTGGAAAAATAAACTAGCAGAAAATTATTAGTAATAGAGATATTTATTATTATTTTATTATTTATATAGCACCATCAGATTCCGTAGCTCTGTACAATGGGTGGACTAACAGTAATTGTAACCAGACAACTGGACGTACAGGAACAGAGGGCTTGAAGGCCCTGCTCAATGAGCTTACATTCTAGAGGGAGTGGGGTAAAGTGACACAAAAGGTAAAAAAAATAGGTTGTTAGAAAAGTTTTCACTGAGGGCTTAGTAGGTAATTTTTGACAGTTCCATGAAAGGAGTCATGGAGGGTGGGGGATGAAAACCTGCTAACAGTTTAATTGATATGCTTTCTTGAAGAAGTGAGTTTTCAATGATTTTTTTTGACTGAGTGGAGACTGGGTGAAATTCTTACGGAGAAGGGAAGGGAGTTCCACAGAAGAGGTGCAGCCCTGGAAAAGTCTTGGAGGCGAGTGTTAGAGGTGGGAGTACGAACTGAGGATATACATAGCTTTGGTAGAGCCTATCCCTGCTCTACACAAACACACACTACATCCTCTATACAAACACACTCTGCATTCACTAAACCCACACTACATCCACAAGCTCTGCATCTTATACACACAAACACTAAATGCTACAATGTACAATCTGCATCCACTATACATAATGCATCCATGACACACACACCACATCCACTTTACACATGCACTCTGCATCCACTACACACATTCTACATTCACTATACACACACACACAACATCCTTGTGGGTGGACACAGCTTGAGCGGTGTCAGGGCCCCCAAAATTTCTGATGGCAGCCCTAAGGACCTGTATGTCTGAAATGTGAGGGATTTTCTGATTAGTACAGGAAGTGTGTCAGTGAAGCATGTTGCATCTAAGGTGTCATGCCATTGTTTTACAGAGGATATTACTGCCATAAAATTATTTTATTAGTCTGGCTCATTTGCAAATAAAACAGAGATATGCCAGTGGCTGCCAATTGACCATATGCATTTTCTTTATAAGATAATGCACACGTGGTTTGCATTAGTGCCCTTTCTCTCTATAAACACAGTTGCCCATCCATAAGTACGCCACACATTTTGTGCTTTCCATGTGACTGTTCTCTTTATTTTGTCTATATTTGTCTATCTAATAAAAACAAAACTATTCTGTTAAAAATAGGAACCTTATTTTACCTTTTGTAAAGAAAAAACTAAACAAATACCTTTCTTTTAGAGCAGGAGGGACACTTCCAAAATGCATTTTTTTTGCCAGTCTCTATATTGGAATCTCAGCTAACTTAGTCTATCTGTATGCAGTTGGCAAACCTCACAGCTCTCATCTCCTCACTCCCACTAATCACAAACGCTAAAATCCTCTCTTCTCAGGATTCACATGCCCATTCATCTCCTTTCCATATTACTTGTTAGCAGAAGCATTCTCCTGATGTGTAGCATCAAGAAAAAGGTGAATGCAGGGAGTGTAGCAGGAAGGGGACATGCTACATTGATACATGCGGTCAGCAAGATGTTGGGATGTTAGATAGAACGATCAAGAACATTTGTACAGTAAGGTCACCTTTAAGTTAATATAATAATATTAATATTTTATGGCCAGTTCATAAAATATTTGCTAAGATCCTCCCGCATCAATGCTAAGTTTTCTTTTAAGAGTATCGAGAGCTGTGCCCAAGTTAAGCATACAGCTTTCAGATACAGCACTAATAAATTAAATTTAATATATATTAATATAGCTAACCAGGAAACAAAATACTTGCCTGGCTGATTGACAGGCGCAGGAGGAGGTCTTACATCCCTGTTCAAAATGAGAAATATTTGACATAACTCTATAGACATTATACAGTATCTTTGTAATATTTTGTTGTCTGAAGTATAAGCGTAAAGCAAAAATGCTATCCATGTCATGTACAGTAGATGTCACAAAAAAAAATAAAATGCAAATGATCAAATATCCTGTTTGTAGCTATTTGAAATGAATCTTCTGGAATGCAGCTTACTAAATATCATTACATGTATTTAGAAATATTTTTTGAAAAATGTTTGTGTGTTGATATAAGGTTCATATAAAATAAGTACAGCTGACTAACTATAACCAAGCATCTGTAATATACTGTGATCCTTGTCTGCAGTTAGCACGGTCCTTTTGGGTACAAACATGCACAGCCTTTAAAAGTAACTTATTCCAGGCACTTTATTGTTGAGCTTCAACACAGAGACAGCAGCAAATGAAAAAAAAACAAAAAAACAATAATGTTACACAAATCCCTATTAACATTATTCCCACTGCTGCAGCTGATCACCTGCAGCTGAGCAGTGGGTTGGAGACAGTCCAAAAACTCTGGCCTGGATCAATGTCTCCCACCCTGCTCTCCAAATGCTCCACCCCAGGGGCCCATAACTAAATATTCATTTAAGTTATATACACACAGACACACACACTCCCCTTGGGGTTAAAAATCATATGCCTCTCTGAACAATTCAGTCGAAATATAAACTCCCTCACAGACCACCCCATTCACCTTATCACAATACATTGATGGTTGCTATTGAATCCTGTGCTCACAGCCCTCCTTTCTCCTTTGTCCATACCTGGCCTCTAGTATGCTGCAGTTATATTTTGAGGAAGGATGGGGATGCAATATTCAATATGATACTAAGTCGATGAAAGGAGTAATAATTGGTGCTGGGGTTGAGAGGTAGGAAAAGGGGTTTTGAGTATTATGACATGAACATGAAGTCTATTTTAATCACATGTCCAGGTTAATTAAAAATATTTTACTGAATTGTAATGTCTATAACTTTAAATGATAGGCATGAAAATGTACAGCATATAATATAGCTCAGTACCGGAGGAAACTGCCTAGCTAATCCCTATTGGGAGAGCAGCCCTGGTTGGTCATTGAGCAGAGGAAATAATCTAATTACATGAGCACAGGTGGAATACTCATTAGTTCCGGTTGTATTGACACAGAGGTTGACTGATCCACCAATGAAGGCACACTGAGAAAGTTTTTTTTTTTAGCATATCCTTCAATTGTTCCTCCAGCAAACCATTATTACAAGAAAAATTAATGATGTAAGATAAATAAAAATGCAACAAAAATGTTATAAAAGTGTTTTAGCTGTAAAATGGCGAAGGACAAGTACCGAAAAAGATGAAGAACAATCCTCCATTCGTTTCACACCACTCAATCAACCTTCATCTATGGAGCCTTTCGGCCATCACATATGCATTATCTGACTCTGACTTTTTCTTTGATTCTACAAAATAACTTGCACTGTAAGAATTTTGTTGTGTTTTGCTTTAATGTATCAAAGTACCATCTAATGTATTTTTTTTAAACAGACTACAATATGTGGCCTTCCAGTAGAATAGCAGTCACGTGGCAGTCAGCGGAACATGAGTTTCCTTTATTTCAATATTACTATGCCACTGCTGAAAAACCACAGACATTGTCTCCAGATCTACTGTTTACTGTTTTCCGTCAAACCTCTGCACATTTAACATGTTTTGCTCACAAGTAAGAAACGTCAGTGCTTTATAAAGTAAATTATACAGAAATGTATTCAAATTTCTATAAATCAAGTCACCTTGATCTGAATCAAAGATCCTGTGTGAAACTCGACGGGTTCCAAAAGGAATCCATGCTTAATAGAAACATATCATGAGTATCTAACCAATTTATAGGGCCATAACTTTTCCAGAGTTATGGAGTTTGTTGTATAGTTTTTTTTTATTCAAACTTTATTTCTCTTTTTTTACACAATTACAAAAAATGTTTTAAACAATAACAACACAACAATAAAAAATAAAAGAGGAGGGAAGGGGTGGGGGGTAGCAGGAACTCTGTCACTCCCATACCCCCCTTTCTCCCCTTTTCTCCCAAACCAACTCTTCAAACCTTCACCTCAAGCCAAAACTCCACACACAAACAAAATGTAGTATCAACTATTCAGGGAATTTTATTTAATGATCCCTCTTTTGCATTAATATTGTTGAGGGATTTCATCAATATATCCCACATCTCCCATGCTTCCCCTTTTTTCTCTTCCACTAAAGGTTCGATATTCCCAAGTTCATTCACTTTATTTATCCATATCCCTTTTGATGGACATATTAGTATAGTTTTTGCTATAAACTTGCTGTTACACTTTTGGCAACATTAATAAGCCTCATAACAATAGAGTGCTTCAAGTGATTAAATGTAAGATCAGTATAAAAAATACAGATTAATTCCAGGGTCAAGTGAAAATCTGGAATAATGTATTTAGTGATCAGACTCTTAATTTTCCCACCAAAAGGAGTAATTATCGGGCAACTCCAAAACATATTTAGAATGTCCCACCTATGCTGTTTACATCTCCTACATTTGTGACTAACTTGAGGGGCAAAGCTCTTTATTCCTGAATTATTCTATAATTTCTAGATAATAATTTAAAAGCTTGCTCTTGATAATTAACTGCTTTTGAACAATTTTTTAAAATTAGTTTGAAGCATATAATTCATTCCTGAGGTTCCTAAATCCATTCCCCATACTCTACAAAAATAAGGTAATTCTAAACACTCTGATGAGATTAGAAGTTTATACATTTTTGAGAGAGGATGTGTTACTTTTTCCCTCTGAGCACACAAATTAAAACATTTTTAAGTTTGTTGCATAGTTTAACTTGGCAAAAATCCATTTAAGCTTGGATATCTGCTGAGTTTATCTTTAGAACTATCAAGACCATTTTAGGTACAGTTCCAAAGGTCCCTGTGATAGTTTTGTCAGTGTTTAGGAAGAGTTTGTTTACCGCAATCCACTTTTCACATGTGCTCCTCTCCCTACTTCCCTGTAATGCAAGTAATAAACTCTCCTCCAGCCAATCTCCCTACCCACTGTTAACCCCTTTATTGCCAGCCCCTGTCAGCCAACCGCGCTACCTACTGTTAACCTCTTTCCTGACAGTCCCTATCAGCCAACCTCCCTACCCACTATTAACCCCTTCCCCTCCAGCCTCTGTTAATCAACCACGATAGACAGACAGACAGACAGATAGATAGATAGATAGATAGATATGTAGATAGGTAGATAGATGGAAAGAAATATAGACACACATATATATATATATATATATATACATATGTATATAATTTGCTAAATTATAGTATAATTATGTTACATGTGTGAATAGAAAACATCACTACTCGTACAATAATCATTTGAGGTGTTAAGATATTACTTGCAGTAAAAACGATGTATAAGAGAATTTAGTCATCTGTGCAATACAAATGAGTCATTACATGCTACTCTAAGGGGTTAATCTATCTTATCATATGCACGTGTGGGTTAGTATATATAGGACGCACTACTAGTATGTTGAATATAAGGATACAGGAACATGTGCGCAATATAAAAAAATGTATATGAAAAAAATAGCCTATCTTTACATTGTAAATTGAAACATAATAGAGACCCAAGCAATTTGACATTTATGGGGATACAAAAGGTGTAGACAAAATGGAGAGGAGAAGACATGATTAGAAAAATGGACCAAATGGAGAGGAAATGGATCTTCAATCTGAACACCTGAACACCATGGTCTAAACAATGATTTCGAACTCTGCCACTTCTTGCAAAACATAGACTATGTATGTCCACCAGGGATAGTTCAGGATCATTGTTATACTTTTTAACATATATTTTGTATATATTGCTTATTTTTCATTTTACTATATGTTCTTATTTAATTTATCATGTACATTATTGAGTTATATCTTATCTGTATTTGTTGTATGCAGAATGTTTTAAATTTTGTGTCTTATTGTAATTCAAGAAGCACATAAGTGCCTCATCCAATTTTTCAATTATATATATTTCGGAACATTAAACTACTACAGTACTTTATATGTGATTAATATACATTCCCTCTCTTTCCCTCGTATACTTGTATATCCTCGTTCTATTTTCTCTTCGTTAATATGTATGGTTTTGTATGCACAAACTGAAACTTGAAGTGATGAGACGGTGGACTCCTCATGCATTTCTGTCCATCTCTACACCATACGATTGCCAGGACATTTGCCAATAAACAAGATGAAGTTCATAGACGAGTGACGCGGCCGGAACTATGCCGCACTATTTTGGAAGATAAGAAGAATTAGCTGGCATAATGAACTCCCACGGAATCGGACGTCTGTGATAGGATGGTGAGGGATAGAATGGACTAATAGGACGCGGGAAGTAAATTCAACTGATTGAGAAAGGCACAGAAAATGGCAAAACGCATCTCAGGAAGATCCAGCACTGTAGACATATTATATATTGTTTTTATTGGTTTTTTTTAAGTACTGTTTGTCTTAAATATTTACTCACTTTTCTGCTAATATTGTCTGGTGCCATCTTCAAAATCTACTTTAACTTCAAAGAAAGGCCGTGCCCCCCCTTAAGTGACACAAGGCTATTGTACTTGGAGCCAAGGTTTGAGGCTCCTAAAGAAGGTAAGCAGTTTATCTATATGATTATGCACTGCGTCACATTATATTGCCTGACATACTTCACTAAAGGCTGCTGCTTCCCTCTGTTTTATTGTCTCCCTTTTGAGTTTATCCAACATAAAGACAGAAGATGGACGGTGTCACCATAGAACACATCTGCCAGATTGATTTGAGCCTATCCTATTGGCTCTACAGTTGTGAGTGTGTTACTATTTATCATTTTTCCACACTTTTTGATTTGACTTTATTGTACCATATAGTGCTCTCTTTCGTATTGTAGTTTTCATATTGTATCCATTATTGTACTGTTTTTCATATCCTTTTAGCTCTCCACTGTATGCAGTGGTGGTAGTATCACCACCTAGTACATTTGTTCATATTATCTTATACTGTGTGTAGTTGGGGAGAAACTCACAGAAGTGTGGTAGCAGCTTTTATGCATATATAATTTTCCTTTCTTTTTTTGGTGGTGGATTCTGCTAAAAATGCTTGAAGACTGTGGATCAAGGCCGGCAGGGGAGATTCTTTTATCTCCCCTGCCAGCCAGGCTTGCTGTAAGATCTTCCTCCAGCAGAGGGAGGGAAGGGCCAAGGAGGCTCTGTGTCCCTCCCACCAGCAAGCTGGTCAGGGCCCAATACCATGGAAATGCTCTGATACAGTGCTTTGCCTGCAGGAGGACAGGAGAGTCAGCCTGCAGCCGGAGGAGGTGCAGGCTAAAGTGAACATGCCACCACGGGACCACCAGGGCTTGCAGGATTATGAAGGGATTTTCACATCTCACCCACCTATACACAGCATAGATCTTCACACACACTGCACCCCCCCCACACACTGCCCCCTCACACACACTGCCCCGCTCACACACACTGCCCCATTACACACACTGCCACCTCACACATACTGCCCCCTCTCCTACACGCACACACATTGACCTTAACACACACACACCACCCTTCAAACACACACATGACCAGGGGCAGACTGACCGGTCGGGCACTTCGGACATGGTCCGAGGGCCCGGCCGGGAGGGGGGCCCGCCGCCAGGGCTGCCTTCAGGGGGCCCGGCGGCAGGGCTGGATTGGGGGCGGCATTTGGGGACTGCAGGTGCCACCGGGTGGCCGGTCCGGCGGCACACTGTGAG